AGAGAGGAATTGGCGGACCAAGTCGCTCAGGAACGAGCGAGAAGGAAACATGCAGAAGAGAGGGAGAGATATTGGCGCAGCAAATATGACAGCGAAGCCTTGGTGGTTGATGAAGAGGATAATGCAGACCTCGATTCAATGTTCTGGGCCACAAAAAAAGAAAATATTCCCAAAGAAATGGAATGCCTCTGGGAACAACAGAAAAAAAATATTCAGACTGCTGGCAAGAATGGTCACAGGTGGCATCCTCAGTAATTTCCCTCACTTCTTTACTTTTGATGCATCCTCAAAGGGTGAGGAATAATTTAGAGTTACATGGACCTATGCTTCAAGTTATCAACAATCCAAAGGGAATAAGAAACCCAAAACTGTCCCTTGAAGCAGGAATTAAAGCAACAAAAAAAAAGAAAAAAGAAAGAAAAAGAAACTGTGTTGCTGTGTCGGGGGGGGGGGGGGGGGTAAATCACAATAATGTGGTTGTATCAAGAGATCATAGGGTTTTCTTAACTGTGTTGATGAGTTTCTAAAGCTGAGGTTTCGAGCGTCAGCCCTTCGTCTTTTTGCTCTGAAGAAGACCAGCACTCGAGACGTCAGCTTTGAAACCCTCCACGGTGGCCAATTGGCATTATCTACTCAGTTGATAAAACAAAGCTATTTCACATTGAAATTGTTTTGCAGAATAGAGGGAACCAAAATGGCTTTGTAATATTTTTGGACTAGTTTGTTCTTTGCGAGAAAACAAATCGGCTCAGTCTTCAGGCTCAATAAGCCTAAGATGAGCTATTACTTGACAGATTGTTGGACAAATGATGAGATTGCTTCAAAAATAAAATCATAAATTGCTCGATAAAGAAGCAATTTTAAAAAGAAAAGTGAAGGTTACAGAAGAGTTTTTGTTAAAATTGTGGGTCAAAGCAGCTGGTTCTATAAAACTTGTAGAATGTGAATAAACGTGAACAAACGTGAACAAACATGAATTTATTTATCTACTACTCCTCAAAACCCTCACTTCTCTAACAAAGGATAAGAACCTGAGAAAAGACCCGGGTAAAAATTAAACTCCAAGGGTTTGATATCTCGGCGGTTTCCTAACTTAAAGTTTGAAGGATACTAGTTGCTCGATTAAAAATATGATCATTCCAAAAAGGAGGGTATCAAAATTCAGTTTAAATTTCTGATGTAAAGTCAATCATTTGGAAATCAAAGAGGACGAGTTTGGCCTCACGTTGAATAAAGGTCAGTTCATTAATTCACCTCTAATTTGTTCTTCTATTCTATTCTTTCCATTATTTTCAAAAGAGCGCTCTGTACCAGTTTTTTTTTTTTTTTTTTTTGCGAAATAAAACAATGATGAAGAAAATGTTCCGGTTTTTCCAAGATTTCTGATTGGTCCATACTTCTTGAAAACCAATAAACAGGCGTCAAACTCTGTGCGTCAGAGCATCTGACAAAATCATTTACGGGTGATCGATGTTTGCAGCCTTAATTGGACTTAACATAACGATTTCTGTTAGCCCAATTGGTTATTACGCAATGATAAGACCTCAATTGCGACATCTCCGCAATTGTTTCTTTTCAATGCTGTTAAAACTCTTTTCTCTTTAACGAAGAAAGCAATTGAATATTCTCAGACGGCTATCAAGAAGAACTTCAATGGAAACGTGGTTTTGGGTTCTCGGCTGGTTCCTTTGCATCTTCACGATGGTTGGAAATGGATTTGTCATCTTCTTCGTCTGCAGTAAACGTCAGCTTCGCACCAAAACCAACATATTCATCGTGTCTTTAGCAGTGGCCGACTTTTGTGTTGGGATGATTGCTGTCCCTTCACGTTCACTATGCAACATGGTAACTGAGTGCATCTCCGATAAAAAAGCAAGTTTACTTGTAATGAGCGTATGGGTGTTCTTCATTTACGCTTCTGGAACAAATTTGTTTAGTTTAGTACTGGAGCGATATATCGCCGTCGTGAAACCTTTAGAATACCTGACTTTTATAAAGCGCCGTCGAGTCATTCAAATGGTTCTTGCATCTTGGGGAGTTTCTCTTTTTTTCACTCTAACTGTATTGTTGATTAGACTCAAATCAATCGATAGTAGCAGGAATATCAGCGGCTGTTTGTATTTTTTGTTCGAAGTAATCCTAAGCGTAATTTTAACATTTTGCGTTACATCCATGTTCCTTGTTGTATGTAAGACACGATCTAAAAATTGCGTTTTAGTGAAGCAGCTGCAGTTTAATCAAAGATTCGCTAAAGTTAAAACTCAGAACTCGTCCGCCGTAAAATGGGTGGCTTTAGTAACTTGTGTGTTCCTTATTTGTTACGGAATATTCACACGTTGTAGTTTATTAGCTTTAACTGGTCATCAATGTAACGATTTTCATTACAAAGTACTTCTCCAAGTTTTTAACTCTGGAATGAACCCTATAGCTTATGCTTTTTTCAAAAGGGACATAAAACAAGAATGTAAAAAGCTCCTTTTCAAAAGGTGCCGTTAATTTTAATAGCATTTGGTGAGGAATTAGAAGTAATACTTCAGTTGATGCATAAACCTAGCACTTCTCTTAGTTCAGAGGACAATCGGCTGTCAAGCCGTGTGAGATGGATTATTACTTTCTTATAATCTTATAATTAATGATATCTAGTTTTTAAAATAGCTTGCGTTGTAACCAAGAAAAATAATTCGGTGCAATTATATACGATTGTGATGCTCATATCCACATATCATATCGAATATATCGAGACTGTTCTTTGCTAAAGGAAGTTACTTTTTTTTTAAATTAGTGAAGCCTACTGATATTTCAGTGTAAAAGATATTCGGTTCCTAAAACTAAATTTGTTAACTTGTCTAATGCATTTTGAAATAAGAGAAAGAAGATCATATTCCACCTCAATTTTGCTGTGTTTGTGTACCAGTCCGCTGCGTCCACCATCTGTTCGCTTCAATGCTTTTGACCATTATGTTCTTGATAAACTATATCAAACATAGCTTTGAAACGAGGAATGCTGGGATAGAAGACCTGACATTTTTACATTTTTGCCTCCGGTAGCTGATTTGTATACATGTCAACTTCTCCATAAGTTGAAATTTTCACGTAATTTACCTTTGCTGGTCAATGTCAAAATTATTTGACTGTTTGATATAAACACCTTTCCTTTGGCAAATTTTCGTTCGGTAGCGTAGACGACTTTGATATGACGTTTAAAAGGCTTTTTCATTAGATGGAAATGCTTTTTAAAGAGAATGTTTGTTAGACTAACAGGAAATTACTCAACAAGTATAAAACTCATGCTATTGACTGGTCTAATGGCAAGGAAATTCTTAAAGGAAAGCGCTTTCATGAAACAAGTCTTCGTGACAGGTTTTTAGGCTTTGATAGTGTGTTGTACAAACAACCATTTTCCTTTTGAAAAGAAGTGCACATGCTAAGGAAAAGATGATATTGGGCATTTAGCCCACGAGCAGGACCTTAGTATTGGTGTCTCAGTAAGCGCGTGTCGTCGCTTGCCAAATAGTTTGAGGCCATGAGTAGTCTTGCATACTTTGTTCAAGGCTTTAATCTTATTTGCAGGTGGAGGACGCACGTGCCGCAGCGCTAATTGGGTACCTTTAGCAGTCAGCTCGGCAACATCTGACGACAAAGTTAATTTAAAAGTGAGCTTAAATTTCTATTTATAAAATAATTCAGATTGAGTACGCGACCGAGCTTTCATTGGTCAACGGGGAAATTTAGATGAGGGTACGTATAAACAGTTGGGACGTCTAGCTTCTTGCGCTTGCCGACACAATTTGAAATCATCTAAAACTCAAAAGCTTTCGCAATACTTGCAGAAAAAATTCAAATAGACATGACAGAATTGGAAATGGAAAAAAATTCAAAATTTTGATGTGGGGTTTAGCAATCACTTTCCCCTCTGAGCCCAAGCAGAAAAAAAAGAGGAAAAGTTAGAACTACAGCGCTTTAGCTGCTTAGATGATCGTGAGCTGGAAGACCTCGCCTAGGGAGCTCATGTTTACTAAAAAATGTCCACGAAAAGCGCAGACCGAACTAAGTGCCACAGTCTGTATTGTCTTGAAGTAAACAACGCATACAGCCTATCGATTGCCATATTTTTGCTTTGAAATTTCTCTTAAATTGTAATTTTTACTAAGACGTTCTCGGCGTATGAAACTACTTTCGCATTGGCATTAATAATCGCAAACTATTTTTTCGGTTAGAATGGGACAGAAAAACTGTACTAACCAGCACAAAGGCGCGGTGAGTGATTCAAGTTCTCAATTATGTTGTCGGGCTGTTTTTTATTCAGCTTAATTTGAGTTATGTGAGTAGTTTATCCAGAGCGCCATGCTTACTATATTGGGCGCTGCCAAATCGGGCAAGTTTTCGTCACTTTCATAAGGGATAAACCTCGGTGATATTTAGTTTCAGCTTAATCAAACTCCTCCTCTAAAAGTTCTTTACTTAAGGGATTGTATATTTTAAATATTTTGGTATTTTTTTGTGAAAAAAAATCGTTTAATTCACACGGGGCTGGCACAACAAATATTAACTCGACTTTAATTTTTATAAGACGAATTTTGATAGGCTTGTGTGTTTTTATTGCCCAGAGCATTTATTGAGAAAATATATTTCAATCGAGTAGTAAATAAATAATTCTTTTTCCTTTTTTATGTTATTGGAGAGCCATATCCAAAAATAAAGATAATTTTTTCCTGTGTGTACATAATCTCATCCAAACAATTGAAAGTTGAACAATTCTCGAAAATTATATCAATTCTTCCAATAATAATTTAATAAAAATGAAAAAAAAATGCCAGATATGGCCGATGTCGGCGTCTATGTTTCCCTGCAAAGCCCACGGAAACCTCCTACGTATCGTGGTTTCACTTAAATTTTGAACGTTGTTGACGTCATTGCTATGATGAATAAGGTTATAGACAATAATTCTTCTCGATTTGTTAAAAACTAAAGTTGTTCTAGAAGTGGCCATCAAAAATAATTTCAATGGAAACGTGGTTCTGGCTTCTCGGCTGGATCCTTTGCATCCTAACGATGGTTGGAAATGGATTTGTCATCTTCCTCTTTTGCAGTAAACGTCAGCTTCGCACCAAAACCAACACATTCATCGTGTCTTTAGCAGTGGCTGATTTTTGTGTTGGAATGATTGCTGCTCCTTCACGTTTTCTCTACGCTATGATAAATGAGCACATTTCCGATGATGATCTCCGACTAACGATGTACGTGTGGGTGTTCATACTTTACGCGTCTGGAACCAACTTGTTAAGTTTGATATTTGAACGATATATCGCTGTGGTGAAACCTTTAAAATACTTGACTCTTATGAAGCGCCGCCGAGTCATTCAAATGGTTCTAACATCTTGGGGAATTCCTTTTCTTTTTACTCTGACTACATTATTGATGGGATTCTTTTCATTGCATCGAATCGAAGGCTATTTGTATCTATTTTACGAGGTAATCTCGTGTGTAATTTTAATATTTTTCCTTGCATCCATGTTTCTTGTTGTTTACAAGCAGAACTCTAGAGATCGCACCTTAGCGAAACAATTGCAGTTTAATCGAAGGGTCGCTAAAGTTAAAACTCAGAACAGGTCAGCAGTGAAATGGTTAGCATTGGTGACCAGTGTGTTTCTGCTGTGTTACGGAATATACATGCGTTGTAGTTTAATAATTTTAATTGGTTATCATTGTAAAGATTTTCATTACAAAGTCCCTTTACAAGTTGTCAACTCTGGAATAAACCCTATAGCTTATGCTTTCTTCAAAAGGGACATAAAGCAGGTATGTAAAAGGCTTTTTTTCAAAAGGTTTCGTTCATTTACTACAGAGCAGTTTTTGGGCAGGAAAAATTAACACTTCTCCTAGATCCCGAGAGCATTCGGTTGTCGATGTATTAATTATTGTCTTTATTGATACCTAAATGAAAAGCTTTCGATCAAACAGAATTCTCTGCTGCGTGAGACTTGATATTTTTTTTATCTCTAAGATATAGGACCATATTTCGAATATATTGAACTTTAATTTGAGATGACAAATTAATGGATATTATTTTTGGTTTCTTTCCTCGAAAATGGTACTATACCTTAAAAAAAGAGATCACTCCGTTGGAGAATGGGGCGCCATGTTAGTACTGCGTCATCTCGATATGCGTTTTGTGAACCTGAAATTAAATAAAAAAGTCCGATTATAAAAAGAATACTAAAATTTATACCTCATATTTTTTTATCTTTTTTTTAAATTTTATTTATTATTTTTTTTCGGTGGTTAGATTCACCGCAACCTGGAATAGAGATTCACCAAACGATTAGAGCTTAGATATAATGAGATTATTTAGAGCACTACCTCAAGATTTTTTTTTTTTTAATTTTGGCATCGTGCCTAATCATTTTAACTTCCTGTCTTCCCAGAAAGTGGAGGCAATCATGCTTTGATGATTTTGGCATCGTGCCTAATCATTTTAACTTCCTGTCTTCCCAGAAAGTGGAGGCAATCATGCTTTGATGATTTCGTCATCAAAAAAAATATATTTATGGCAATCAGTGGTGGCAAACCACCTACAATCAGAACGACAAGACGCATGAAATTCAAGCGTACAAAGCTCCGCTGCATTTTGAACTGTTCACCTTCATCTGTTTTCGTAGAGGCCCTCTTCAAACGAATTTCCTGAAGCAATCCTTATTCTAATAGCATGCTTAGGAAATTGGCTTTCCTGGTGATTCAGTTTAGGTTTTTATAAGAAAAATCGAAATGCTCTTACTCCATCTCAAACAGGAAGATGAATATTTACTAATCTACTCTGTAATTGACAATTGGTGTTTATAGCAATCATGCTATCTTCATAAAAATCCTCGCCGCCAGGATTTTTTTCGTTTAAACAGATATAAAAGCCATTCTGGATTCATTGCTCTTTTTTTCAGTTGGCCTGGTATTAAACTTATAAAAATGAGAAAGAATGATTCGATATGGCTTAAAGAAGTCGCTAAGAAAAAAACAAAAAAAAAAAGGAAGTTTGCCTTTTATAGAAATTGCGGGTGGGAGCAGGTGGTTCCAAAGAACTTCGAGATGAGTACAAATATGAATTTTTAAAGTTATTGCTTTTGAAAATTCTCTTCGCTCTGAAAAATTGGACGATATGAAAAAAATTACCAGTATGAATTCGATAAAAACTTAAAAGGTACTGGTTTTTTGGCTGATTTTCAAATTAAGAGAATTCGTAATTTGCCTTACATCTATGTTTCTTGCTGTTAACAAGAGCTCAAGAGATCGCAACTCGGCTAAGCAATTGAAGATAAACAAACGGGTCGCTAAAAATAAAAATCAGAACAAGTCTGCGGCGAACTGGGTGGCATTGGTAACGGGTTTGTTTCTTTTGTGTTACGGAATATACGTGCGTTGTAGTTTAATAATTTTAACTGGTCATCCTTGTAACAATTTTCATTACAAAGTACCTCTACCAGTTATTAACTCTGGAACAAATCCTCTTTTCCCATTGGACGAGACTTCTTGGCAACACTTCTGCAGCGGTGAAGAAGGATGCGGAGGGCTTCTCGGTATATCGCACGACTCGTCAAGCTTACACAAATGGATTAATTCCAATTTTGAGATGTATCAAAATAAGCATCATCAAACCCCATATAAATTCCTTTTCTGAAGCAAAACACAAAATTAGCACGAAAAGAAGCATAAAATTTAGACGCACAAAGCTACGCTGTACATGAAAGTGTTTACCTCGCTCTGCTATTGTATTGATCTTTTTACGCGATAGTCCTCTGGCCATCTTTTTTCTTATAGCTCGATGCAACATAACGAAGATGCTGATATTGATGACGACAAATACATAGCCTTGAATGACTGGGTAATCGAGATGCAGAATATCATACCATTGAAAAAACCAAATAATCCCAGAGCAAAGATATATTGCTAGCACAATTGAAAGCGCTTTTTTTTCTCGTTACCAGACTTCAGTACTTAAGAGGAGAAGAAACTACACTGAACTGAGTCAAGGTAAAGGCGAAAATAGTTGAATTCGACGTCGTTATACAAAATTCGGTGAACGTTTGAAGAGCGTTTAATAAAGTTGTCAATTTGATTGAATATGGATGTTGAAGGTAAAGGAACACATAAAGTGTGGCCAAAACTGTTCCTTGTACCAAAGCTGTTAGCAGATCGGTTATAGCCAAACCAAGCAGAAAATAGGAAGTTGGGTTGCGGAACATCCTCAATGAATCGATATAAAGAACAAGGAGGAGAAAGCTATTGGCCACAATGGTGATAAGCAAGGCTATGAACATGAAAATTGCCGCGCTAAAGGCCACTTTGTAGAAATCTTTGTCCATTGGATTTAGCGTGAAACTGGGATGGAAATTGACGAGGGTCACATTTCCGAAGGAATCGTTGATATTCGAATTCCCTGCAAATACAATCTCCCTAGAGGCATTTATGAGTTTGCTTGTCAAAGGATTGCTGTTAATGAATCGTTTTGTGGTGATGTTAGTTTTTTTTACAACAAAAAACATGATTAAGTGATTAACAGTTTTACTGAATGACCCCATTTGAATAGCAGTTCTACAAAAAAAAATATGTAATTTCCACCAGCACAAATTCTTGAATGAAAAGAAGAGTAATATTTTTCCAGCTAACAAGGAGACTTTTCATGGTAATTACTTCAAAAATAAACTTTTCAAAGACACTTCTTTCAAAGGCCTCTAACAGACTTTTCACCAGCAAGAAGTCCTTGCTGACTCTGTTGATGCCAGCTGGCTCCCAATCGAAGGATTTTGAAATGCTTTCCGAGGCATAATTTGAAGTGAGGATTGGTAACTGAGTTACCTGTCCAAAATAAAACTATCATTTGTCTGAAAAAGTCAACGTGATGACAAATCGTTTAATTATGTGAACTAATTTAACTTTCCTTGCGCTTTTTAAATTGTCCAATACTTAACTAGTTTTCTTTCTTGGTGGGAGCTGTTTCCTCATGGCACAATTGTCAATTTAGATACTCGCGACTGGTTGCCTTCGGAAACCTTGTGCAGCTTTTCTAGGTTATGTTCACTCCATTATATGACATTTTGTGAAATATTTTCTAGATATGAAAAAAAGTCCTGGGGTGTTATACTCAATTGGACACCGAATTATGTTGTTTGAAGCACTAAATCAAGGTAATGACTCTGTTAATTGCTTTGTGTTTATTCTTGACTTGCTTCTTTTAGGTGTTCAAAAACAAAAATGACATTTGCGCAAGGTAATGGGCCTATGGTTGGGTCCTCTTGCTCGCTCCAATCTCATAGTACCCAGGTCTCTATATTTTGACACTTTCAGGAAGTTCGTTACGATCACGTAAAAAAACGGAAAGAAAAGCTATTCAATTCGGACAAACCATCGGGTCAGTCACCGATTGGTTCCCAGTTCTCATGTTTCCCTTACTCTGTAGAAGACAGCACCATGCAGTACTCTAACAGCACTCTAAGCCGGTCTTGCGATTAATCCACAGAGAGATCAAGTTACCGACTTAGTTATACTGATCTCCAGATTTTTCTAAAAATATAAATTTCTGTGTTTGTTTGTATTTTTCTTAAAATATATATTTCTGTGTTTGTTTTCTTAAACCGTGTGGTATTAGTTGAAACTTTGCGTGAGATTTTAAAATCAAAATTAATTAAAAGATTAATAGGCAATAGCAGAACTAAAAACACTGGTTAGTTTCCAGAATACTCCTCTAAATAGTTTGAATCACTCGTGTGAAAAAACCGAAAATATTTCAAAATGAAGTATACCCTCTCTTGAACTTTTCCAAGTTTCATTTTCTCATGTTTAAAATCAAAACCAGACACCGTCCAACATCGGAGGTTTTCGTCTCAACTTTTTTTAAAAAATTTTCTTTTATTTCAATGGAAAAGTCTATTTCTCAATACGTTTTCTTGTCTTTCCTTCGGCGTTGCTTGTGAATGTTAAGCAGTTTTACCGAAGTGTGCATCCAAACAAATCTGTTGAAAATGCTTCACTTTCTATGAATTTTTAAAATGTTCGTTCTTATGAATGATTAAGCTAAATGCTTACGGCTAATACTGAAAAGGTAGAAAAGCTAGACGTGTCTGCTTGAGATTTCTCATTTCGTTGAGATAATATTCTAATGGATTGAATTGTGGTTGTAAGGTATCTATCACGTAGTTTAAGGTAAACATAAAGGGAACATATCATTCTACAATTTTTATGACGAGTGGATAGCTGACATGATTTGAAGATTGTCCTCTCCTTTTTTACCATATGTTTATTCAAAAAATACTCTTATCTACCAATTGAGCTAAAAATTTCATTATATGCATATTTACTTGATTTTTTGACAAAGTAGAAAAATAAATTGTTGTGGTAGCAGATTTTTCACTGCAAAGGGCTTGTTAGATTTGACAAGTTGGGAGGAAAAGTCTTTCTGCTAAATCTTGCACAAACCGTACCAATCTGTACATGGCAAATACCAAGACAGTTTCTCTTCAAGGAAATTTTCAGATTTTTGCAGCACAAATATATATCATTTTACTCTAACGAATTCAGAAATTCATTTTGAGAAAGAAACCATGGACTTATGTATCACACTGGCAAATTCAAAATTTCTTCAATACCTCTAGTAGAAAAGAAAAGCAAGAAAAAAAAATACAATACACTTTCTATTTCAATTATCGACTGTATTTATGCACCTTTAGATACTCTCCGGGAGCACTCGGTACAATTACGAAAATTTCTTCAAGTTCTGAACGGGAAAACAATTCGCAGCCCTTCGATGCCTCTCTCTTTGAATCAAACCGGCATGCAATAATAAAACACGCTCTTGCTTCCATGTTAAAACCTCAGAATGTATACTTTAATTACAGTGAATTTCATTTAGTTCAAACTTACAGCTGCAGCAACGTGATGAAAGTTTACCCAATTCGTGTGTGTGCTTTACAATTCTAGCTACTTGTGTAATTATTTCATAGCGGGAACTACACCTACGTGTGAATTCTTTGGGGAAATCAATCAAGTATTCCAACGGTGGCTTTCCCACTGTCACAAACATTAACCAATTACCCTCCTTGTAAGCACAACAATAATCACATAGAACAAAGTTGATAGATTTGTCGATCACTTTAGTAACGGGAGAAATCAGTTACAATTTCGTTCCGCTTGTTGTCAAGGTCAGTTGTGACACACCTTAAAATCAAACCAGCACTGAAAATGGACTCTAAATCTGCGACGAATTGTAGTACTTCGATGAACTTCACCGGTAATTTATCACTTTGCCCAACTGTCCAACCTGTACCGTTGGGGCCCATGGTAAATCCATTTGACGAGTTTTACAAGTTTGCCTTCGGATCAGCAATTTACATTATCATCGTTTCCTTCATAACCGTCTTTGCCAACGGCTTGTTACTTGTGGTTTTCTTCTTCGATCCATTTAAGATATTTCGGACTGCTACTACCTATTTCCTAATCGGTCTGGCCTTTGTGGATATCTTAACAGCCGCCTCGCAAGAGCCCATGTACGCCACATGCTTCATAATGATGTACCTTAGACATCCTGACACCCTTGCAACGTGCACACCTCTTCTGAATGTGGGCCAAGTGATAGCTGTTGCAGCCATGAATGCATCCTTTCTGATAGTACTCGCTTTCACAATTACACAGTACATTGTGGTGGTCTCGCCGCTAAAATACGGCCGGCGCGTTACAAAATCGCGGGTGGTGATCTGTGTATTGGGCATATACGCGTATTCCATATTGTTCAGTCTCTTTCCTGTTATGGGCATCGCCGAAGAGATCGTGCAAAAGATCGATAACATTTTTCACTCCATTACTTTGGTCTACGTCACCATTATCTTTTACATTCTGCTGTACGTCGCCTTTAGGAAGAAAATGGCTGCTTCTGAAAGTCTTCGAGAAGACAAGACCACACAACGATAGAGGGAGAGAAAATAAACAAACAGGGGTGGAACGCAAGTTTATCATCGTCAATTTTCTCCTAATCGCCATCTTGTTTTTGACGTCTCAGCCGTCTGCCATTTTATGGATTTACCGCTTGTATTCCAACGAAAACCCCAACTCTCCAAGAGTTCTGATTGTCAATCTCATGGTGGCCGACAACCTACTTTACCTGAAATTCCTGCTCGACCCGTTTGTCTACGCATGGCGAATACCCAAATATCGACAGGCTCTAAAAAATGTCCTGCGCTGTGGCAGAGAGGAGCCTGAAACAACCTTTAGTGACCGCGTCATGGCCCAGGTTAGCAAGTCACGCGAGACTGTAGTGACCCTGGACTTTAAAAGCATTCGGGACTAAAACATTGATACTAGTTCGAGGTAGCCCATAGTTCTCTGCAAAATCTTAAGCCTCGCAAGCTTCTTATCCAATCTCGAGATCTTGATAACCTTTCTATAGTTTCGATCTCGATTTTATTTCAAATTTCTCAGAGTCTAGTTCCAGAGAAGGTTAGAGTAGCATTAACGTAATTTCGTGAGCAAGGAAATTAACTTTTAAATCACCTTCGTTTGAAATATTGTAGAACAGAAGCTGATAAATGGCAAAAATGAACGCAAATAGGAAAACCGCAAACATTATGCACGATTTCTTTAATTTGTTATAAATAGCATATTGCAATAATCCTATAGAAGCGTAACAAGGGGTTGTGTTAATAAAATTGTTCAGTCTCCGCCTGTGTTTTAAAAAAGGATTTGCTTCTCACGAGGGCAATCAGATGTGTCACATCACTTCTTAGGAGGAATATGGAAGATCACCAAATAGCGTCATGAAAATTTTATCGCTCGTACCGCTGTATAACTGTGCCGATATATCACCATTTAAGTCAAGGTTTTGAATCAAGGCTTTATTGACGTCGTTTAACTTGATTATCTGGGCCTCTGGAAATGTTCAGCTACTCCGAAAAATTGAATTGGTTTGTCAATGTAGACAAACCGACAGTTTTTTACTTAATTATCCCAGGCCCTAGGTAGCCCAAAGTAGACGAAAAACCGACAAATTCAGTCGCTTTGTCGGCAACGACAAAACGATTTTTCTTGGCTTAATTTCGACAGGCGTATTTAAGGCTCAACACAGTATACTTTCACAGACAAAGTGACTACGGAAAAATTATCTTAGCACCGACAAACGGACTACAAATACTTTTAATGACGAATCAAACGTTCTGTCGAATACAAAGCAAGCCTGAAGAATTTAATTTCAGTTATTCACTTGAAATGAATAATAGCGCCTAACTCTTTTGGAAACTGAACAAAGTGTTTTCCATATTTTTTTTTCTGTTAGGTTTTAAAGGTTCAAGTACAATTTTTTTTTTACAAGATGTTTTTAATTTAAGTCATCCCTCATACAATGCATTGGTAAAGATGGGGGCGGTAGTATTTTCTCTATACCATAATAATCATGAAATTGATTCTTCTCTTTTATCGTGACAAATGTTGGGCCAGATCTACCCTTTGATACCTTTTCAATAAACTTCTAGTTCACTGTAAATACATCCTTTTTTAAATAGTTGGGTATAAACATTCATTGACGTCCAATTTCCGTATCCTGCTAAGGTCCACAGTTTGAGAGAGCACTTTAAATATTTGGTACAAACATTTACAAAAGTCCAATTTTCGTATCCTGCCAAGGTCTACTGTTTGAAAGAGAACTTCGATTATTTGGCATATGTCACTACTGCGAAATATCCAGATGGAAAATGAAATTCCCTGCTATGCTGAATAATTTGTTCTTCTTTGATCCCAACACGCGTGGGCCTCTACTGGAATAATCGAACCTTTTCCAAAAGGCACAAACTCGGTGCAAGTTTAAAATTAGAAGGCTTATCACAAGTCTAAGTTCTTAATAATGGCGAAACAGCGTCTCACATCCATGATAAACAAATTAGAAAATTAATTTTAATAAGACTCAAGGTTGATAAACGAGTAGTGAAAGTGTTTTCACGCTGATAGGAGAGGAAAGTTTACCTTAGTTAATTAACAGAAGTTCTATTATAAAATTGTAAATTCTGACTCTGCATTGAACCATAAACTGAAGAGCTTGACTCTAACCACTACTTTTCTTTCGCGCCCTGATCATCATATTTAAGATGAACTGGACTTGTGCAAATAATACATTGCTCAACATAGGCGTTGATTATTTCAAAGAGCTACAAAGGAGCCAAAAACCTTCAAATTCTTCAGTTTACACCGGGGCAGCTGGCCTTGATTCACAGGAAGGGATGATGCATGTTGAGGAGTTTTCAAAGGCAGCTTTCGGCTCGTCCATCTTTATCATCATAGTTTCGCCCATGACAATCGTGGCCAACAGTTTGCTTCTTGTAACTTTTCTCGTCGATCCACTCAAGATTTTCCGCAACCCAACCAGCTACTTTCTCATCGGTTTGGCCATCGTGGATCTCCTAACGGCACTAATACAAGAACCTATCTATGCCGCCTGTTTCATGCTAATGTACTTCCAGCATCCTTCATGGACGAAATGTAAATCTTGGATGAAATTTGCAGCGTATTTTTCGGCATTTCCAATCTCAATATCGGCATCTATCGTTTTTGCCTTTACATTGACGCAGTATATCGTGGTGGCATCGCCTCTGAGGTACGGCCGCATGATTACAAAGAAGAAAGCCTTACTTAGCGTTGTTGCTATATACCTCTATCATACGCTTTTCTGTTGTTTGCCTCTGATGGGTGTTCCACAGGAGACCAAACACGCCATCGACTTATTCTTTCACAGGTACACTGTTGTTCTCGTCACCATCGTGGTATACATTATTCTGCATTACACCATGAAAAAGAAAATGACCGCAGGGCGCTCACTTCAAAGCGAGGAGGGAAGACACGTTCAGGTGCAGCGAAGCTTTTTCCGTTTAAACGTCGTTCTTCTCATTATTATGATCATGTTTTTCGTGCCTTCAGTTCTACTGATGACAATCAGATTTTTTCTGGACGACATATTTACTGCTCGGTATGGGATACGGGTTCTCGTTGTGAATTTGATGACCGACAACCTGCTTTACCTGAAATTTCTGTTTGATCCGATTGTGTACGCGTGGCGCATGTCCAAGTACAGGAAGTCTCTGAAAAGCACTGTTTATCGTAATAAAGATAAAGAGTCCAGCAGAAGCGAAAACGAGACTAAACTCACAGATACAAGAGGTCAAGTAGGTGAGCTGGCAAGTGCTGAACTGAACAAGTCAACGATAACTTTACTCAGCTTTAAAAATGTCAGCACAGATTAAGGGTAGACCCTCTCCCTTTTTGGTACACATAAGCGGTCATAACTGATGAATCAGACGTCTCCTATGGATAGAGTTAAAACCATCACAACTGAGAAATTCATCGTGAATAGGACTCAGTGTTCTATCATCAAAATAAAACTCATTAAAAAGGTACAACAAACTGGACTTCATTAAAACTTTCAATTGACAATACAACTATTCACCAAACTCTGAACACTTACGTGGAACAACGTTCGTTGAGAACGTGGTTGAGAAATCAAGCAGTTTGAGAACATGGTAATGACCATTAGTGAGAGTTTATGGAATAAAGAAAGGTCTCTGTTGAACAGCCAAAGTCCGACTTTGACAATGAATAATATCCTCCCAACTTTAATTGCTTACAAACTCACATTTAACCTTGCTTAAATTGACGACACTGGAAGACAAAGGAACTCATACTGAACTCAAATATTTCTATTTTCTAAGACTGTATGGTTTGATTCTTAGACCTGTGCTGCGTTTTTGCCCTTGTTTGGATTAACACATGTTGGGTTCGCATCAATTTGCCTTTGCTCTCCAAAATTAAACCTCTGGTTTTTCGTTTACCAAAGAAACATTTTGGCGATGTTATGATTGAAGTTTTACTGAACGTTAGCAATTATTTACTTGACTGCAATATTTCACAATATAATGTTGCAAAAAGTATTAAAATAACTTAATATACATATAAATTAAATAACCAAACTTCACTTTATATTTGTCATTGCTGTTGATAAAATGTCCAGTGGTCCTTTGTAATCTGTAATATACAACCATATAGTCAGCTTATCGATTGAAAACAAAAACAGCTTAATGTGAGCTCCAGTGATAGGGATATGCCTTACGAAATATATAAGGCCTTTCGATTACATCATATCTTATTCACGAATAAGTATCAGCATAACCTCGAATACCAAGGTAAATAACGGAACATTCTAGAATGTTCTAAACAAAACACGTTTCAAAATCGCATCATCAAGATTTTTTAAATTATCGATAGCATTGCTTTCCGAGGAAAAAGCTTTTTTGCTCGTTTTGTTTCTTTGTGTCATCAAATTCACGACATAAAATTAGGCTTTCTCTCCAGCAAGAAAAAAGACGTTTTTTCCCCAGTCTTATCGTTTCTAATCTGCTAAGAGGGGTTTTCTTACCATTTGGCTTTAGACGCCTACCAAAATAAACCTCAATACATTAACAGTTTCATAATTTTGAAAATTGTTGTGAACACTATTAAATATGAAGTACACTCTGTTGACACAAAAGTTCTAACAGGAAAGAGGAGGTGAAAAATTTGTGGCTATGGATCTTACTTACGAGAACATTCCCACGCCTCTAAACCCTTTAACTCCCAAGATCTGATTGTTAATTCTCCCGTCTACCTGCTACACATCTCCTTTTAAATTAGGTATGAGAACTTGGTGCTAGATCAAGATAGCAGCTTCTACCTGATAAGTTTGAATATTCTCATTACCTGTTTGCTGATTAATGTATGGATATTACAGGGAGAAGTTTCATGTTTATCACTTCTAGGAGTTAAAGGGCTAAGCCAAAGAAAACGAAATTGCCTCAGGAGATATAGCAGATGTTGATATTCAATTATCTCCGAGTACCGGCTATCATCTTCGGCTCGCATCTACAAAACCTCAGCATAGCTGAAAGTCAACTCTCTCAAAATAATCCATAGTATGCTTTGTATCATGCAAAATTCCCTAAAATGAGTGGTGAGTTATCTAAAGACTCTTCTCGTTATTCATCTTTTCGTCTGTATGCAATTTGTCGGTTTTTTTGTCTACTTTCGGCTACCTAGAGCCTGGGATAATTAAGTCAAAAAAATTTTGGTTTGCAAAGTGGGGGAAGTTTCATGTTTATCACTTCTAGGAGTTAAAGGATTAGGCCAAAGAAAACGAAACTGCCTCAGGAGATATAGCAGATGTTGACCTTAAATTATCTCCGAGTACCTATCATCTTCGGCTCGCATCTACAGAACCTCAGCTAGGTGGAAGTTAACTTGCTCAAAATAATCCATAGTATGCTTTTTATTATGCAAAATTCCCTAAAATGAGTGGTGAGTTATCTAAAGACTCTTCTCGTTATTCATCTTTTCGTCTGTATGCAATTTTTCGGTTTTTTTGTCTGCTTTCGGTTACCTAGAGCCTGGGATAATTAAGTCAAAAACTGTTGGTTTGTATCCATTGACAAACTAGTTCAATTTTTCAGAGAAGCTGTACATTTCCAGAGGCGCAGATAATCAATTCAAACAATGTTAATAAAGCCTTGACTTAATTGATGATATATGGGCACGATGCCGTACGAACAATAACATTTTCATGACACCATTTGGTGATCTTCCATACCACGAAACTCCCAAATTCCTAAGAAATGATGTGCCACATCTGATTGCCCTTATGAGAAGCAAAGCCCTTTGAGACCGACGGAGACTAAACAATTTTTGTGATTGCGTGACTGTGCGTTACAGTTGGGCTGCGAGTTTGCCCTTTGATCATTAAGGTTTCAAAATTTAACTTGGTATTCTCCGTGTCGTTAGTTGTAGTTGGTTTTTTGTCCTTGTCGATCAATTTTTTAATTGTGCGTGCCATCAGCGTTGCGGGATCGATGTGTAAATCTTTAATATTCTGTTTCCATTTTCGTTTAGCTTGCCTCCTAACTTTCTAGCCATTGTTTATTCATGATTTGTGTATGTAATTTAGAGATGTCGTGCCTTCGAGGTCGCGTAGAAATTTTCGATGAAATTTAGGTATTATTTTATTGTAATTTCGGGGCAAGCTCAGCCTCATTGGGCGCATTTTGGTCTTTCGTTTATTATCATATGTTTATTGTGTCGCTTAGGTTTCTCTTGGTTATTTTTATTGTATTTCGTTTGTTAATCGCCACGCGCGTTCTTACACTAGTTCCTGTTAATTTATTTTATGAGACATCATAGACAATTGTAATAAAGATCAGCATTTAAATTGGTTCGCCGTCTTCGTTACATATCCCCGTATTTTGGCACGTTATACTCATCTGTTCGCGATATCTCTTGGCACCATTTCGTCTTGATGTTCGTTACCGTTACCATTTTATTCAGACAGCCCCTTGTTACGATCATTCCATCAGCAATATACTATTCATGACAAGGAAATCGTGCATTATGTTTGCGTTTCTCCTTTTTGTGTTTATTCAGTCGCTATGTCGATACCGACAAAATGATTTTTCCTAACTTAATTTTGGTCTTGCATATCCAAGGATCTGTACCGACCAATTATCTTAGTACCGACAAGCAGACTACGAATACTTACAATGACGAATCAAACGTTCTGTCGGGTGCAAAGCAAACCTGAAGAATTGAAATTCAGTTATTCACTTGAAATGAATAATAGCTTCAACATTCATTGACGTCCAATTTCCGTATCCTGCTAAGGTCCACAGTTTGAGAGAGCACTTTAAATATTTGGTACAAACATTTACAAAAGTCCAATTTTCGTATCCTGCCAAGGTCTACTGTTTGAAAGAGAACTTCGATTATTTGGCTTATGTCACTACTATGAAATATCCAGATGGAAAATGAAATTCCCTGCTATGCTGAATAATCTGTTCTTCTTTGATCCCAACGCGCGTGGGCCTCTACTGGAATAATCGAACCTTTTCCAAAAGGCACAAACTCGGTGCAATTTTGAAATTAGAAGGCTTATCACAAGTCTAAGTTCTTAATAATGGCGAAACAGCTTCTTACATCCATGGTAAACAAATTAGAAAATTAATTTTAATGAGGCACAAGGTTGATAAACGAATAGCAAAAGTGTTTTCACGCTGATAGGAGGGGAAAGTTTACCTTAGTTAATTAACAGAAGTTCTATTATAAAAGTTGAAATTCTGACTCTGCATTGAACCATAAACTAAAGAGCTTGACCCTAACCACTGCTTTTCTTTTGCGCCCTGATCATCATTTTTAAGATGAACTTGACTAGTGCAAATAATACCTTGCTCAAAATAGGCGTTGATTATTTCAAAGAGCTACAAGGGAGCCAAAAACCTTCAAATTCTTCAGTTTACACCGGGGCAGCTGGCCCTGATTTACAGGAAGGGATGATGCATGTTGAGGAGTTTTCAAAGGCAGCTTTCGGCTCGTCCATCTTTATTATCATAGTTTCGCCCATGACAATCGTGGCCAACAGTTTGCTTCTTGTAACTTTTCTCGTCGATCCACTCAAGATTTTCCGCAACCCAACCAGCTACTTTCTCATCGGTTTGGCCATCGTGGATCTCCTAACGGCACTAATACAAGAACCTATCTATGCCACCTGTTTCATGCTGATGTACTTCCAGCATCCTTCGTGGACGAAATGTGAATCTTGGATGGAATTTGCATTCTATTTTTCAGCATTTCCAGTCTCAATATCGGCATCTATCGTTTTTGCCTTTACATTGACGCACTATATCGTGGTTACATCGCCTCTGAAGTACGGCCGCATGATTACAAAGAAGAAAGCCTTAGTTAGCGTTGTTGCTATATACCTCTATCATACGCTTTTCTGTTGTTTACCTCTGATGGGTGTTCCACAGAGGACCAAACACGCCATCGACTTATTTTTTCACAGGTACACTGTTGTTCTCGTCACCATCGTGGTATACATTATTCTGCATTACACCATGAAAAAGAAAATGACCGCAGGGCGCTCACTCCAAAGCGAGGAGGGAAGACACGTTCAGGTGCAGCGAAGCTTTGTCCGTATAAATGTCGTTCTTCTCATTATTATGATCATGTTTTTCGTGCCTTCAGTTCTACTGATGACAATCAGATTTTTTCTGGACGACATATTTACTGCTCGGTATGGGATACGGGTTCTCGTTGTGAATTTGATGACCGACAACCTGCTTTACCTAAAATTTCTGTTTGATCCGATTGTGTACGCGTGGCGCATGTCCAAGTACAGGAAGTCTCTGAAAAGCACTGTTTATCGTAATAAAGATAAAGAGTCCAGCAGAAGCGAAAACGAGACTAAACTCACAGATACAAGAGGTCAGGTAGGTGAGCTGGCAAGTGCTGAACTGAACAAGTCAACGATAACTTTACTCAGCTTTAAAAATGTCAGCACAGATTAAGGGTAGACCCTCTCCCTTTTTGGTACACATAAGCGGTCATAACTGATGAATCAGACGTCTCCTATGGATAGAGTTAAAACCATCACAACGGAGAAATTCATCGTGAATATAACTCAGTGTTCTATCATCAAAATAAAACTCATTAAAAAGGTACAACAAACTGGACTTCATTGAAACTTTCAATTGACAATACAACTATTCAGCAAACTCTGAAGACTTACGTGGAAGAACGTTCATTGAGAACGTGGTTGAGAAATCAAGCAGTTTGAGAACATGGTAATGACCACTGGTGAGATTTTATGGAATAAAGAAAGGTCTCTGTTGAACAGCCAAAGTCCGACTTTGACAATGAATAACATCCTCCCAACTTGAATTGCTTACAAACTCATATTTAACCTTCCTTAAATTGACGACACTGGAAGACAAAGGAACTCATACTGAACTCAAATATTTCTATTTTCTAAGACTGTATGGTTTGATTCTTAGACCTGTGCTGCGTTTTTGCCCTTGTTTGGATTAACACATGTTGGGTTCGTATCAATTTGCCTTTGCTCTCCAAGATTAAACCTCTGGATTTTCGTTTACCAAAGAAACATTTTGGCGATGTTATGATTGAAGTTTTACTGAACGTTAGCAATTATTTACTTGACTGCAATATTTCACAATATAATGTTGCAAAAAGTATTAAAATAACTTAATATAAATATAAATTAAATAGCCAAACTTCACTTTATATTTTTCATTGCTGTTGATAAAATGTCCAGTGGTCCTTTTTAATCTGTAATGTACAACCATATAGTCAGCTTATCGATTGAAAACAAAAACAGCTTCATGTGAGCTCCAGTGATAGGGATATGCCTTACGAAATATATAAGGCCTTTCGATTACATCATATCTTATTCAGGAATAAGTATCAGCATAACCTCGAATACCAAGGTAAATAACGGAATATTCTAGAATGTTCTAAACAACACACGTTTCAAAATCGCATCATCAAAGATTTTTTAAATTATCGATAGCATTGCTTTCCGAGGAAAAAGCTTTTTTGCTCGCTTTTGTTTGTTTGAGTCATCAAATTCATGACATAGAATTAGGCTTTCTCTCCAGCAAGAAAAAAGGCCTACCAAAATAAACCTCAATACATTAACAGTTTCATAATTTTGAAAATTGTTGTTTACACTATTAAATATGAAGTACACTCTTTTGACACAAAAGTTCTAACAGGAAAGAGGTGGTGAAAAATTTGTGGCTATGGATCTTACTTACGAGAATATTCCCACGCCTCTAAACCCTTTAACTCCCAAGATCTGATTGTTAATTCTCCCCTCTAGCTGCTACGCATTTCCTTTTAAATTAGGTATGAGAACTTGGTGCTGGATCAAGATAGAAGCTTCTACCTGATGAGTTTGAATATTCTCATTACCTGTTTGCTGATTAATGTATGGATATTACAGGGAGAAGTTTCATGTTTATCACTTCTAGGAGTTTAAGGATTGGGCCAGAGAAAACGAAACTGCCTCAGGAGATATAGCAGATGTTGACCTTCAATTATCTCCGAGTACCTATCATCTTCGGCTCGCATCTACAGAACCTCAGCATAGGTGGAAGTTAACTCGCTCAAAATAATCCATAGTATGCTTTGTATCATGCAAAATTCCCTAAAATGAGTGGTGAGTTATCTAAAGACTCTTCTCGTTATTCATCTTTTCGTCTGTATGCAATTTGTCGGTTTTTTTGTCTGCTTTCGGCTACCTAGAGCCTGGGATAATTAAGTCAAAAACTGTTGGTTTGTATTCATTGACAAACTAATTCAATTTTTCAGAGAAGCTGTACATTTCCAGAGGCGTAAATAATCAATTCAAACAATGTTAATAAAGCCTTGACTTAAATGATGATATATGGGCACAATGCCGTACGAGCAATAACATTTTCATGACACCATTTGGTGATCTTCCATACCACGAAACTCCCAAATTCCTGAGAAATGCTGTGCCACATCTGATTACCCTCATGAGAAGTAAAGCCCTTTGAGACCGGCGAAGATTAAACAATTTTTGTGATTGCGTGACTGTGCGTTACAGGCTGCGAGTTTGCCCTTTGATCATTAAGGTTTCAAAATTTCACTTAGTATTCTCCGTGTCGTTAGTTGTAGTTGGTTTTTGTCCTTGTCGATCAAGTTTTTAATTGTGCGTGCCATCGGCGTTGCAGGATCGATGTGTAAATCTTTAATATTCTGTTTCCATTTTCGTTTAGCTTGCCTCTTAACTTTCTAGCCATTGTTTACTTATGATTGAAGAAATGTAAAATAGTTTCGGTGTTTACATAGCCTGATGATGCGAAGTGAAGTGGTTTCCAGCTTATCGAGTGTTCTCCCAACCTCCCAAGTGTTTACATCAGGCTATGTAAACACGGAAACCATTTTACATTTCTTTCATAAAATAGCTAATGAAAGAGGAACGAAAACCGTGTTTACATACATCATGTAAAATGGTTTTATGGCCAATCAGAGCGCGCGTACTATTTGATTTATTTTATAACTGTGTATGTAATTTAGAGATGTCGTGCCTTCGAGGTCGCGTGCAAATTTTCGATGAAATTTAAGTATTATTTTATTGTAATTTTGGGGCAAGCTCAGCCTCATTGGGCGCATTTTGGTCTTTCGTTTATTATCGCATGTTTATTGTGTCGCTTAGGTTTCTCTTGGTTATTTTTATTGTATTTCGTTTGTTAATCGCCATGTGCGTTCTTACACTAGTTCCTGTTAATTTATTGATTTCAGTTTACGAGACAACATAGACAGTTGTAATAAAGATCGGCGTTTAAATTTGTTCGCCGTATTCGTAACATAGCCCTGTATTTTGGAACGTTATACTCATCTGTTCGCGATATCTCTTGGCACCATTTCGTCTTGATGTTCGTTACCGTTACCATTTCATCTCTCATTCCATCAGCACTATTCACGACAAGGAATTTGCATTATGTTTGCGCCTTGATTTGTTACGACAAAATGATTTTTCCTCACTTAATTTTATTCTTGCACATCCAACCATACCGACATCCATCCATACCGACCAACTATCTTATTACCGACAAGTAGACTACGACTACTTAAAATGACGAATCAAACGTTCCGTCGGGTGCAAAGCAGGCCTAAAGAATTTAATATAACACGCTGATAATTAACTGAATTCTGGGAACAACTATTCAGAAGAAGAAATTCGTGGAAAGATAAAAACAATGTAGTAACAGTGCATAGGAAAGATGTTACAGTTAATTCATGGCTGGAGGGGAACGTTTCCCTTGGTTAATTAACACAAGTTCTATTATAAAAGTGGGAATTCTCCCTCTGCATAAAATCATAACCTGAAGAGCTTGACCCTAACCACTGCTTTTCTTCTGCGCTCTGATCATCATTTCTAAAATGAAATTGACTTGTGCAAATTATTCCTTGCTCAACATAGGCGTTGATTATTTCAGAGATCTACAATAGAGCCGAAAACTTTCAAATTCTTCAGTTTGCACGGGGGCAGCTGGCCTTAATTCACAGAAAGATGATGATGCACGTTGAGGAGTTTTCAAAGGTAGCTTTCGGCTCGTCCATCTTTATCATCATAGTTCCGCCCATGACAATCGTGGCCAACGGTTTGCTTCTTGTAACTTTTCTCGTCGATCCACTGTGGCGGCAACTGCCAACAACCATAAATATTTACAACGGTGTCATTAACGACTAGTGTAGATTGAGTAAGAATCGGGCAGTACACCAATCGTTTGTTGAATTTTTGGTTAGATTTCACCTAGAGCGCCGTTCAGAAAAGTGCAGCTGAGAAATTTAACGCAGGCACCCTAAGTCTGTTAACCAAAGCTTATCTGCAATATCTGGTTAAATTTACCTCGGTAACGGAGGAGAATGTCAAATCAAGCAAAGACATATGCTTCATGTTTCTAAGATAAAGAAGTTTTACCAGTCGTGATTCAGAAAATAATGTAAACAGGTATATTTAACGCTTAGCCTCAGGGCCTCCAAACATTATGATAAATATCATAGAGGATAGTCAAGTAATATCATACGATAAATATGAATGGATAGAAAATGACTCGGTGGCTATGTTTGAAGGCTTTTTTCACCAAGCAATGTCGTTTAAGAGGACTTTTTATTCTTAGCCTCGTTTCCATGCTGGCGAATTTCTGACATGCGTGGTTCTCATCTCCAGAAGTTAAATTGAATTAGCCTTTATCAGAAAATTTTAGTCTGAGGGTCATAAGTGCTGTGACAACGTTTCATGCTTTTATCATTAATTTGAACAATTTTGGTCGATAACCGCGAGACCACATAGGGATATGCCTAACACAATATGTATGACTTTATGATCATATCATATCTTATTCACAAATACGCATTAGCATGGAATACCGAGGTAAATAACAGAACATTCTAAAATGCTATTCTAAACAAAATACATGTTGTAAAATCGAATCATCAAGTTTTATGACATTAACAATAGCATTGCTTTCCGAGGAAAAAGCTTTAGAAAAAATAAAATTAGGCCTAGCCTAATCGTTTCTAACCTGCTATGAGGGGTTTTCTTGGCATTTGGCTTTCTACGACTACCAAAATAAACCTTGATACATTAAACAATTCCACAATTTTGGAAATTGTTGTGAACCCTATTAAATAGGAGTACATTCTGTTGACATAAACGTTTTAGCAGGAAAGAGGTGGTGAAAAAATTTGTAACTATGGATCTTATTCACGAGAACATTCCCCCGCCTCTTTAGCCAAAGAAAATGAAACTGCCTCTGGAGCTATAAAAGATGTTGACCTTCGAGTACTTATCATCTTCGGCTCGCATTTATAAAACACCAGCATAGGTGAGTCAAATTGCTCAATATAATTCATAGTCTGCTTTGTACCTTGCAAAATCCCCCAAAATGAGTGGTGAGATATCTAAAGACGCTTTCGTAATTTATCTTTTCGTCTATATGCTATGTTTGCTCACGGTATTTAATTACTTATCGGACTTTCACAGCGGTAGTTCACTCTGAGTATTTAACATCTTCGAGGAAAATATTTTAGATCATTCCCCTTCTATTTGTTTTAAAAAGTTCGTAAAATTTCTTTGCACTCATCCATATCTGTCTTGAATGATCAACTCTCGGTTGAGTATCCTTGAGTCTACCTTATTTTGCAGTTTTTTTAGAAATAATTTCATGTTATATCTCAGCTATTCTTGAAACGACTTGCTTTCTGACAGCGGGATTTAAAGCAATCACCTGGCCCTCCATGAAAAGTTCTCTCTTAAATAATCGCTCTCCTTTGAAACATGAAAAGGGATGGAA